CTCCTGGGTTATGATCAACTCAGTCAGTGGTTTCAACAGGGACTGGATATGTTCCTGTAGGATCAAGCTATCAACAACTGTTAATATTGATGGCTCTTGTCTACCTCCTGAATCAGAAGCAGATGGCTTTGTATGCCAGTTGATGGGAAGAGACAGTGGAAGGAGGCTGTTGCCCTTCTGCCCAGGATTATGAACTTCCCAAATACCTGCAGTGACACAAAATGGTGCCCCACAGCTTGATCCAGTAGGGCACCTCTTACATTCTTTTTACTGGCATACATACTCAGTTTACTGGCTAAGTGGCAACTGATTTAAGGACTCAGACAATCCACCCTAGATCAGGGGGACCAAAGGCTCATTGTATTCCACATTCTGTTTCTCACATTGGCTAAGGAGACACTATCAGGGAAGCAGACAAAGTGGAGAGGAGGACCACAGTGGACAGCATTCAGTGGTTAATTGCCTCTGAGCTTGGAAGTTCATTTTAGGAGATGTGTCCACCATGAAGTTATCAAATTCCTTCTGTAAGGTGCTACTGAGTTCGATAGCAGTTTCACCTGAGTAGACAAATAAAACTTCACCAGTACAATTTATGTGGCTGCCTCATCCCTCTTGCTCTGACACTAGAGGCACCCACCGGATACTTCCTGCAACAAATTCTGCATAAATGATGAAGAATGCAAATACTTTGAGGCTTCACCAAATCACCCCACCTGATATTTTTGCCCCCATGGAACCTTAAAAAAAATAGTCAGCAACAGAGATGTTCTGACATTCTTTTATACTTCCCTTTTTTCTCTGTATGCCACAACATCAGTTCTTCCTCTCTAATCTCCCCCCCCCCAAAAAACCTGCCTTTCAAATCTTCCATGTAGTAGTTGGAGACATTAAGCCGTTTTAGAAATTTTGCTCAATGCTGGGGGTCTATACAATCAACCAAGTGTATACAGCCAAGAGAATCCCTGTTGGATCCATCAAGGGCTTTGTGCCCACACCTACAAAGATGACAGCATGCTTCCTGCAAATCTTCACCCTTTATGTGAAGCTTCTGGGGGATGGGTACTGTTAGCCCCATACAACATTAAATGTGCCATCTGGTTAGCATGTTACCATCTGCATAAGATTATTTCTCCACCAGTTCATGTGTCTGGCAAAAGGAGATTGGGAAAGTCTGTGTGGGAGAAGAATGTGTCTCTGGCTGGATGTATTCATCCACAGAGAACTTGAGGTGGGGGTCAAGGGTATGAACACACTTTTCAAGTATTTGAATGGATGTCCCAGAGAAGGTCAGGGTCTGTTCTCTATCATCCTATCATTCCACAGTGCAGAATATGGAATATGGAGTAAAGTTATTGGAAGGTAGATTTTAGTTAAATGTTAGGAAAGGTTTCCTATTTTAAAATAATAACAAGCGAAGAAAATAAGAAAAAACACACAAAAATAATTATAATGCAAAAACATATATTCTCAAAAAAAGAAACACATTATTTTAAAATAAGAAAAATCAATAAAAAAATTTAAAACGAGGAAATGTTTCCTAAAAGGCAGAAGAGTTCAGTAATAGAATTAACATCCAAGGGAAGAGGTGGATGTGTTCCAGCAGAGGCTGCAAAGCCGTCTGTGAGGGATGTTGTAGTCTATATTTCAGCATTGAGCAGAGGGTTGAACATGGTGATCTCAATGACTCCTTCCACCTTTATAGTTAGGTTCATGCAACAGGCTTACTGAGTAACCCATTCTCAGGACTTGCATTACACTTTGAATCATTAATCAAATGGGCCAGATTTGTACAACAGGCTACGTAGATGCACCATTAAGAAAATCCAACCAAGAAGACCAGGAGAATCATAGTGTCATCAGATGCCTTTGCCCAAGAAGAGTACAATTGTGCATTTCCCCAGGAGAATGATGCTGTTTCTCTTGGAAGATCTGCCTTCTCGCCTGGATGGACAAGGAATGGACTCTGCTAACAAGAGGCGCAAACTGATTGTGCCTCCTTTTCCACTAATGCTTCTGAAAAGCCCAAAACGGTCATAACAATCACAGACCAGGTTATAATAAGAGAACGCAAACACACAGAGAGAGCCCTAGGTGAGCCCATTCTAAACACGCAAATCATTGCTTTGCTGAGGAATTCAAAGCCAAACAATTACAGTGATGCAGACAAGAGGCAAAAAGAATTCATGCTTTTTATCTCGCTAATATATGTTTTTCTTTACCATCAACTCCATGATTTTACTCAGTGACAGTGCAGATATGGGGAGGGCAAGCCAGTGTAATGTAATGATTAAGGCTAAGAGCTGGGAGAGCCAAATTCTAGCCCTTGCTAAAACCTAGAAGCCGGCTGGGTGACTTTGAGCAGGTCACTCTCTCTCAGAAATAAACTAGGAAGTGGAAAAGCATCTATATGCCAAGCTGAACTGGACCAGCATGGTTGTAATAGTCTATGGGAATGACCTCGAGAGACAGGAGGAAGAGCTGCAGACAAGCCAAACCCTCGTGCAAGAGGTATCTCAGCCCACAAAAGGAGAAGGGGCATGGGAAGCATCTCAGAAAAGTCCCCGTCTAGTTTTCTGGAAAGTCACAGTAAAGGAGGGGAGAAATGCTTTCAGACCTGCAAGATTCTGTTACTGTAACCTTACAAAAAAGATAGATTTAGTACGCATAGTTGGTGCTTTTTGTCTGGACTACCTTAAAGGGCTGACAATGGTAGATCAGAACCCTGACTTTCATCCTGCAAGTGAACTGATTCAGACTGACTCTGTCTGTCTGTCTGTATCTTCATCCACCTACCTACCTTCATCTACCTACCTGAGTGACTTACCTACTTATCTTCTACAGGTTCTTACAGACTGTGCTTTCCATGTAGACTGCTCTGTAGTTCTCCTGAATGGTTGATAGCTGTCTAGAAATTATCTGCCAGTCTCTTCCCTATCAATGATACTCAATGGTTCAGGGCACTGCAGTTACTAAGTCTCATCTATAGTAGCTCCTCAGCATCCGAACAAGGCAATCTCTGGTTTAAAAGCCTCAATACTGAATCCTGTGCTTAATTTTTCTCAATGTTCATATATCTATGCACGCTCTTCAACAAGCCCCTTTCAACCAGCCACTTCCTGGGCTGAGTTTGCAATGCTCAACTCCAGTTCTGGAACTCTGCTGGGATTACCATCCGAGAAAGTAGGGAGCTTTTTTGCATGGCCCAAATCCTTTTGCAATGTGGGAAGTGCAGCCTTCCCCTTGCGAACTGTTGGCTATCTTACAAATCCTTTGGCTCTGGTTAGCTCCTCCAAGCTTTGCAGCAGTCTCTTGCTCCCCAGCTTGCACTTCCCAGGGTTTCTTTCATCCGGAGGGTTACTGCCACGTGTGGCATGTTCTAAGTCACTGATTCATCTCTCAGCAGCCACATTATAGTATTACCCACCTCCTCTTTGAGATGCTCCCTCTGTAAATATCTCCTCTTGCCCTTCTCTCCCTTATTCTTCCACCTAAGTAGTCCCGCACTTATTTTCAAGACCAGTTCGGCTACATGGGGAAATCAACACAGATTGGTTCCTTATGTCTAGCCTCGTTCTGTTCTCGAGGTTCTCTCCCCCCTGCCCCCCCCACAGCACATCACTCAAATCTAAGGCTATCTTTCTGGGTCAAAAAATTAAATAACCTGCATTTTAACACTCTACTTAAATGTGCTCTTCCTCAGTCCTTAGCCATCACCTGATCACTGTGTCTTTCTCTTCTTTGTAACTTTCCATGGCTCATCAAGTCTTGCAGTTAGTTAAATGCCAGAGATTTCTTCTTTAACCCCCCACCCACCAGCCTTCAGAAATGGGCATTTTTCCTTTGCTTCCTCCTGGGGTGGCCAAGCCAACCAGGGTGGCACGCTTACCTGCAAAATGGTGTTTGTTGTTAGAAGCCAGGGCAAAAGCCACCTCATCACTGGAAGCCAGGGTGAAAGACATTGATTGAACCCAGATCTTGAAAACAGACAACATCAACTCCCTGGCGGAGTCCGTTGCAAGCAGCTTGGTTGACAGGAGATGGGAGTTGATTCTCCTTGGCTCCAGGGAAGCTTTATTAAAGACAGATCTGACGTCAGGTTGGACAGCTGCATATTTCTTCGGGAATAACTTTTCCTGCCTTCTTTTTTCTCTCTCCCTTTCATTTTGGTGATTCATCCCCACCTCCTGCTTTCTCGCTGCATTGCCTTTTGCCAGGAATTTCTTAAAGGAAAATTCACCACATATCATCAGCACAGCAAACTGTAATTTTAACACTCCAGTCCTGGGCTCAGGGTTCACCTATAATTATATTTATTTATGGCTTCTCCCTGAGAGCTGGGTGGGCAGGATGGGAGGGAAATGAAGGACCTTATCAGGAAGGGGTCGGTGCAGAGCTGAAGGGGTCACCTTTTCCAAGGTGAGCCTCCAGAGGTACAGATCCCTGTCCTCCTCTCCCCAAAACGTCTAAACGTCTGACTTAAAATTGGTTTAAGGGTGACACCAATTCCTGGTGTCTTCATGCAATTTTTGGGGGATGATATGTAAGCAATTCACCACCACCTTTGTCTTCAATGCTTCTTTTCAAACTCTTCCAATAAAACTTTTATTTGCTCATCAACACACATAAAAACAGACAAAGCTTCAGTTGCACCACTGGGTCCACCATCTTGACTTTTTTGACCATATCCTGTGGACATCCTGGTGGGATTGGCCTGATTGTCTCATCCAAATACTAACGAAATCCAAATTCAAAAATTCAGTCAAGTGTTGCCTCCTGCCATGACTTTTTATGCACTTGATGTATAAATGTTTAATAATATTGTATATTCAAGTGGAACAACGGAGATGAAAACATCAGAAGATAATATAGGAAATAAAGATAAAGTCCCTTTCAAGACAAGTTGTAGATTTCTTGGCAACAATATCAAAGGAGTTTGCCATTACCCTCTTCCAAAATGTTGTTTTTGTTCAGTTTCCCAATCTAGTTTACAGCCTTAAATTTCCTGGTGCTCTCCCATCCCAGATTTCTAGATGCTGACATCTTGTTGGACAAAATGCCCTTAGTGTAGAATGGTTTTTAAAAATGAACACTTCAAAAAAAAATGAGCTAAACAAAGCATCTCTCTAAAAATTCTGCCCCAAAACATACAGGGAAAGTTCCAGAAAATCCTGATTTCACTCACTTTGTCTACTTGACCATTGTGGACTTTGTCCCTTTCAGACACCCAAGTCTGCCCATCTTTGCCCCATACTAAGGCTGGGACAACAGCACACTGCATCCTAAAATTGAGATAATAGTGTACTATGTTCATGTAATTATGAACATAGCCTTGTCTGTCTGCCTAGATTACTGCAATGCACTCTGCATGGGGCTACTCCTGAAAACCACTCAGAAGCTACAGCTGATCCAGAACTCAGCTGCGCAAGTAATTATGGGTGCACCTCAGTACACCCACTGAATACCACTATGAAAACTGGTTAGTTGTAGGTTTCCACGTGTGAGTCAAGATGCTGATTGTGACCTATCAAGTCTTCATGGCAGAGGACGTGGTTATTTGGGGGACTGACTGTCTCCGCTGATTTCCGCTCATCCAATAAGTTCTGACAGGGTGGGCATGTTCCAAGTCCAGTCACTTAAGCAGCAGCATCTGGTGGAATCCAGATATGTGCCTTATTGTCCTCTGGAACAGCAGCCCCCCAAGATCCAGACGGCCCTACCCTACCTATCTTCTCCTCCAGCCACTGGGTTTTGTGCCCATCTTGATTATTTTTTACTATTTGGGGCCAGATGAAGTTGCCTTGTGCATGGCATGTTTTACTGTTTTTAATTGGGCAGCGGGGAAGCTGTTATGTGCTATTTTAATTGGTGCATGCCACCCCGAGTCTCACGTTGACTGGGCAACTATGTAAGTTAAATGAATAAATAAATATACACTTGGGCTAATCTCATCCCAGACTATGAATGTTGAAAGCAGGGACCAGCGCATTTTTTCCTGTCATGGATTGCAGTTAAACAATATACGTTGTCTTCCAAGTGTGCTGAAGTGACTGTAATGTGGTGGCATCATCAGAGTCATGAACATGAGATGGGCAGGTATATAAACTGAAAAAATAAAATAAAATAAAATAAAATAAAATAAAATAAAATCATCCAAGGGTTGGGACTCACATTTTTAGCCTTTCGACTCACATTTGGATGGTATAGATCAGTGTTTCTCAACTTCGGCAACTTCAAGATGTGTAGACTTCAACTCCCAGGATTCCCCAGCTAGCATGTTGGTTAGGGAATTCTGGGAGTTGAAGTCCACACACCTTAAAGTTGCCAAGGTTGAAAAACACTGGTATAGATCTGTCAGTCTAGTTTGTCTTCTACTCCGGTGGCTCCTTTGTGACCGACCTTGACTACCACATTGGCCATTTTCAGCATAGGCAAGTTGCCTGTAGTAGTCATTTTGTGAGTGTGCCTTGGTGGGTTGCTACTTCATTACATTATACTGCTTTTTGTTCTTGGCTGCCATGTTAGTTTTGAATTATATGTCTGCAGTCTACGTTTGAAAGTTTTGGGTTGTGGCTTCTGTCTGGATGCTGCCCAGAGCCACTGGGTAGCATATCAATTGAAATAAATAAATAAATAAATTTCTAAATGTGGTACAAACAAATTGTGATGCTTAGTTCTCTTCTCCTGATAAGTGGGCCTAATTCTTCCTCACCTTTCACCCTATCCAATCCCAAAGCCTACCCAATGGGAGAGAGATTTCAAGGCTAACGAGGAGGTGAGCGGCATTTCCCATCTCCAAACTGGCACCTTTCAGATTCATAGCCATCATGGACAATGGTGGTACTGGCTGAGCATGATGGAAGTGATCATCTCACACATTTGGTCAGCAGCAGGTTGGGAAAGACTAATGTGAACAGATTCCTTGCATGGAGAACCTCCAGTTCTAAGCAAGAACTCTGATACCTACTTGCTGAGTCTGTGCATGAAGAAAGTGCCTCTCTGCACTGAAACGAGTGACATCTCCAGTGACATAATCCAGGCAGAGACCCTCCTCCTTTGTGAAAACAGAGCCGTAGTCTGATCTAATTTGAGGCTGATGTGCAAGATAAGAGCATAGCCATGTGCTCAAGTTCATCTCATTGGAAAAGAAAACGCAGAACAATGTGGCAACAGTAACATGTGAACCAGGTCAGAAAAGTTCAAAACGGAACAAGACCAAGCCATGGCAGTCATCCTGCTTGCTTCCTGGGAAACCAGGTCTGTCAAATGCTGCTGGGGCATGACCCCAACACATGAAGTAATGCATATTTCTTGCTCTTCTGCAAATATAGAAAAAAAACAGCCAGTGATCTAGGCTTGGTAAACCATCAGCTCTGAAGGCAAATAACCACAGAATGTTTCCTCTTTCTAAGAGAGTGGAAAGATTTATTTTAGGCTAAAGGCTGAAAAATGTTTCAGGCCCGAGAGCTACACTGGAAAATTCAGCGTGCCTGGTTATACAAACACTCATTTATATATCACTGATAGATGCAAAGAGCTTAGCAGACAGAATGTGACAAATTTCATCTTCAGAATTGTTCAGTCTAGTGATGAATATAACCCAGTCCAAGACACCACATCAATCAAGCAAAAAACACATCTAAAATCCTGAATAACAGTTCTTCATTTTCTTAAAAGTCAAAGTGCTGGCTGAGAACTTCTCTGAGAAGGAGCTACTGTGGAAAAGTCCCCACCGTTCAATCTAGGATACGTTCCTGGGAGGGATTCAGAAGAGCAAAGCACCTTCAGGGTTGAGTAAACAGGAAATTTCCAGCTGTGGAAATAACATGTGTGGAAAAGTTTAAATGCGCCCTTCCTTCAACACTGCTGCCCCAGTCAAACTCATGTTCATACTCGAAACCCAGGGTGGGAAATGCGGTTCCATCTGCAGCCCAGATCTAACTCAGGGCTTATCTGAACAGGCAGTGAAAAGAGTTGAGCAACAAGTGGTTTCATTACGTTCTGTCCCCTCTTGATGATGAGAACCAGTATGGTTTAGTGGTTAGAATGCTGGATTAAAAGTGGTGAGATTCATATTTATATATACATATATACATATGCATATATACATACATACACACACACACACACACACGTACATACACACAAATAATGTTTACTATTGGGGGTTTAATTTTTTTTTCCTGTTTTTTTCCCCCCTCTTCTATTTCTTGGTTCTATTTGGTTTTGGCATTTTTTGTTCATGTATGAATTGTCTTTAGTATTTCATTGTTTCTTTCTTTTTTCATTTTTTTTTTTTTTTTTCCCCCCCCCCCCGGTAATCTTTATATTTATTTACATTTCCAATTTGTCACCCCCCATCTCACTGCAGAGCGACTCTGGGGGGTTTACAGTAAAAAGAATAAATATTAGTTAAAATAGAATAAATATGAAGACTTCCTATATAAATAATAACAATAATCTTGCTATAAAATACAATAAAATTGAGGGGGGGGGAAATGTGGAGAGATTCTGTTTCAGGTCCAGATCCAGTGAGAACCTGGACCTTTTCTGTCTTTGAGGTTCATACTTATAATAAAAATGAGAAAGAACAATTAACGAAAAGAATGCAAGATACAGATCTCCTTCCTCACATTTGAATTGTGAGAAAGTACCGGGCAAAGGGTGGGAATTTTTACAAGGGAGAGGGCTGCCTTTTGCAATGATTTTTTTAATCCCAGTGGCAACATGCTGCTGACTTTATCTGGGCTTGGAAGCTAAACAGGATCAGACCTGGTTAGATCTGGATGGGAGACCTCTAGGAAATCACGCATTTGTAGCTTGATTAGTAAACTGAATAAATATCCTGGAGGAAGGCAAGAGCAAAGCACTTTCAAATTGTTGCCAAGAAAACCACATGAATGGGTCCCTGAAATCCCAAACTATCAAACTCCCTTTGAAGGAGATTTTATCTTATATTCCAGCAAGTTCACATTGGAAAGTCAGTCTGTGTGGCTTACATCAAAGTTCCTCACCAGCAACCTATTGGTTTGGAAGCAGAT